CCCCCCAAGCCCTATTACACTCTATTCTGCCAATCTCTCTATTCTACTTCGCCCTGGCCATTGATTATGGGAATATACTCATTCAGCCGTTATCCCAGTTAAACAAGCCATTTTGCCCACTTACGTTTCTGTCTGTTCCGCCTGTTTTGTCTTTCCTACCCCTTCTCCCCTTCTGCTTTTCTACCACTTCCTCCCTTCTGCTTTTTACCCGCATGGGCTTTCCCTCGGCTATCCCGTGTTCCCCCCATCCCTCCTATACCTACTGTACCTCCCATACCTTCTACCCATTCTACCTATCGAATGATGTTCGCCCATTCTGACCAATCTAGACAAGCCCACAAACTATATGTTTCCATTCCCTCTCTCCCTGGGTAACTTTTTTTTTTTTTTTTTTAATCCCCCTCTTCTTTTTTTTTTTTTTCCAGTCTATTCAAGGGAGCAGCACGTGCTGGGAACCGGGCCCAGCGTCCCATATGAACATACATCAGTTTGTAACACCGGGGCCATTACCCGGCTTCGGCTGGGAAAAACCTGAGACTAGAGTGCTTCAAGCACTTATGAAATCAGAAACCTTCGAAAATTCTAATGCTGATGATACTAATGATACCAGTGATGATGACAAAAGCATATAGCTACTCATGCTAAGTCAGCCATACTGAACTCCTAATCCTGAACAACTCCAAGCCCTGTCTCTTATACACATCTAGATGTGTATAAGAGACAGGTAGTGCAGTCCGCACACCACCTGCGAATCTGCACCCATTAACTGTCAAAATGCAGATGTGGAACATAACGAGCGGTATCTTGCCGTTAAAATTGGAGCAAAAGTACATTCCGTTTTCCACTGTTTTTCTTTGTTTTTTCTCTGTTTTTTTCTCTGTTTTCCCTCTCTTCTTTCTCTGTTTCTTCTCTGTTTTTCTCGTTTTCTCTGTTTCGCTCATTTTCTCGGTTTTCGCTTTTGCCACAAGTGGTGTGCACACTGTCTTTCCGACTGTCACGTGACCAGCCTTTCCTTTTTTTTTTTTTTCCGGTTCCTAGCCCTTCCATTGTCCTTCCAACCCAAAAGCTGTACAAGCCGGCAAAAACAAAATCAGGATATATAACATAACGCAGTCGGGATATAACGGATTGGAACGGAGGGAATGGAGGACAAAAGGAGAAGCGGAGATACAAAGGCAAAGAAAGCAAAACTGACGAAGAGAGAGAGAGAGAGAGAAGGCAGAGATAAGACTAAAACGACCTGCACCAGGATGGCAAAGAATAGAGCCTTAGGGCCTTGCTCCACTACTCTCGACATGTGCAAAACGAGAGTGAATCTTCCGCTAGAACATGGAACAATACACCGCCATGATTTCTGTCTTTTGTGCATGTCTAGAGTTGAGTGGAGCAAGGCCCTTAGTTTCAAAATTCCTGACTGATGGAATGCGAATCACAAAATTGAATTGCTGCCTGGGCTACCAGCC